GGTGAGAAAAGAGGGGGGAAGAGAAGGGGGGGGGGTGATCAGTATTTCTGCTACTCACTATTATGGCACCATCCCCCCATAATTTGAGGGTATAATGAGCATAGAACCATCCTCTTAGAACGCATGGTCTCCATTATGGTACAATGCACCCTCATAACACAGACAGGGCCCCCCCATCTACTAATTAAAGTGAATACAGAGCCCCCACCACCACCACCTACACACACAGTATTTCCCTCATGAACATGCAAATCAGTGCATAATTTGTTAGACATGCATTTCTTTTGAATTTTTTGTTGTTATTCTGTCTCTCAGTGTTACAACAATACACCTACCATTTGATTTTTAGACTGATCATTTCTTTGTGAGTGGGCAAACATTTAAAATCAGCAGGGGATCAAATACTTATTTCCTTCACTGTACATACACACACACCCATACATACACAAACACAAATACATACATACACACATACACAGACACACACGTCTCCCCTCTGGCTCTCTCAGCCTGTCACACTCCGTTTCTCAGCACTCTGGTCACAGACCGTTCTTCCCCTTCCTCCCACTGTTATATGCTGAGTTCTCACCAGTCTGTGAAGTGTCCTCCTCCTTGGGCTCTGTCAGTCTCTCTCCTCTCACCAGACCGGACTCGGAGTATGCTTGCACAATCCATCCTGCGGCCCTCCCCATCCTTTCAGGAGCCTTTCATAGGACCTCCTAAGGAGCCTGGGCTCTCAGGTAGCGTGTGAGTACCTGAAAGCTTAGTCCACCCCTGGTACCAGCACTCTGCTCCAAATCCATCAGCTGTCTGATCGATCTGGCCCTCGCTCCCATGTTATATCCACTCGCCAAATGTGAGCAGGCAAGTGGAAATTTTGAGGCTTGCATATATAATGTAACACTAACGTGCTAGGCTTGAGCATGCATCTAGCATCATTTTTTAATGCACAATACCACCCTTTGCAATTTACTAACAAATATTTCCCTTTAGGCTTCATTTACTTAGGTGTAAATGACTGTCTTTAAAGGAAATTACAGTGGGAGAAATGTATCAAACCTAGAGCAGACAGTTTGGACAGTTAAGCTTTAAAAATTAACCACTTCCTGTCCGGACACTTTTACCCCCTTCCTGTCCAGGGCAATTTTCAGCTTTCAATGACAATTGCGCGGTCATGCAACACTGTACCCATATGAATTGTTTACCATTTTTTTGAGACAGATAAAGCTTTATTTTGGTGGTATTTATTCACCGTTGGGATTTTTATTTTTTTTGCTATGTAAATAAAAATGTCCAAAAAGTTTTTTAAAAAAGTGTTTTTCTTTTAAAATTTTGCAAATAAATAATCTTTCATCATAAATCTTGACCAAAATGTATTCCATTATATTTTTAGTAAAAAAAAAATAAGCCAAATTAGTTTATAACCAAAAATTATAATTTTTAAACATTTTTTTTACATTTTTATTTTATTTTTTTTATATTATTATTTATGGGTTTTTTTTTTTTTTTTTTTACATACTGTCACCCTAGCAGTACAGTGTCACCATGGGAATAAGTTGGTGTCATGGTGACACTGTACCACTTGTGGGGTGATGAAGATTTTTTTTTTTTTTTTTTTTTTTACAGTGATTGCTTTTACACCCATATAGGATGTAAAAGCAATCATTTCTCTTTCTCTCTGTCTGCATTCTTGCAGCCATTGAGAAATACTGAGTGAGCTGTGATTGGTCACACCTTGTCACATGGTACAAGGTTGTTGTGAATAGCCTTGTACCATGTGACCTCTGTGATCATTCACAGATTTCACACGTAGTAAGCAATGATGTCACTTGTGACATCTTGCTTACTACTTTGCATGTGATCACTGATTGGCCTATCAGTTATCACATGATCGGGACCTCGTACAGAGGTCCCATCCGACGATTGGTGTTTCACTGTGTCTGGAGGACACAGCGGGCACCGGATCGCGGTGAGCGCGCACAGCTAGAAAAGGCGGGTGCCGTTTATGAACGGCAACCCGCCCCTGGAGTGCCACCACCCTGCCGTTTATAAACAGCAGGCGGACGGCAAGAGGTAGAAGTTGACTGGTTGAGATGCACAGTTGCTCCAGATTCTGGCTGCTCTATTTTTTGATAATTTTTAATGAGTACTTATTTGAGCATTATTGCAGTGCTTGCTTTAACCAGTTCTAATATGACTTCTACAAACTTGCTCTTCCTAATTTGTTATTATTGTAATAAATATAGAGCACAAAAGAGTAGCCACTGGAGGAAGCTCTCAGTAGGTCAGCCAAATTACTATACCCTTTTTGGACATTAGCAACTGTTGAGATAAGATATCAGCCACTGAACTATTTTTACTGATAAACTTGTATTGTGAGAAGGTGCAGCAAAGTACTACCATTGAGTAATACTCCAAACCAGGAAGCAGAGCCAGTTTATATAATGATCAACTGCCTTGTGTACACACACATATATATATATATATATATATATATATATATATATATACACACACACAAATTATGCACAGAAACAGATAGTGAGTGACTGATTTTAAAAGGGATTTTTTTGCCTGAGTTTTTTTTTTTTTTTAGTAAAATAAATGTTTTTATAAATGTGAAAGTGATCTGTTAGATGCAATGTAATTATGCATATACCATACCTAGCCAATACCCCTGAAAGTTGGAAATCACTGTACAGTCCATTCATAAAGCAATCAAACATTTTTGTAGCCTTCTCGAAGTCTGTGCCTTGCAATAATCATATATCTGGGCTCTGCAGGCAATTCCTTTAACCTCACTGCATTTGCTCTGATACAGTATTCATTGTCAGCTGTGAGGCCTTTTATAGAGAGGTATATGCTTTTCTAAATTACGTTCAATCAATTTAATTACCACAGGTGGACTCCAATCAAGGTGTGGAAACATCTCAGCAATGATCAAGAGAAATGGGAGACACTTGAGCTAAATTTCAAGTGTTGATGCAAAGGGTCTGAATACTTATGCCAATGTGATATTTCAGTTTTACTTTTAATAAATTTACAGACATTTCTAAAATCCCATTTCTGTTTTGTCATTATGGGGTACTGCATCTAGATTAATGAGGAAAAAAATAAATGTGTCAATTGAAAAATGTGAAGGGGATCTGAAAAGAACACTTTATGAATATACTGTATACACTGCTACGCCAGTGATCTCTACTAGCTTCCAGGTCCAGTGCTGAATTTTGCATGGGGACCCACTGGATGCCTTTAGCTGCCATTGTTCTTTCAACTCATAAACAGGGAGAAGGATCTGATTTCAGAGGAAATACTGAGTAAAATGTACAGTAATTTAACTAGCATAAAAAGGGGAGCCAGTGCTTGCTAAAATGTACATCAACATGCATAAGAATGCACATCAATGGAAGGCAATGCACATCCATTTTTCAAACATTTTATGCATTTTTTTAATATAGTATTTATTGAACTTTTTATTGCTGTACAGATCATACAAAGATAATGACACAGGTTTTGTGGATGATTAAGGTCTAATTCAACTCACTTAATGCCTTATCTGCATTAAATTAGCCTCAGAACCTATGTCATTAATATGTGTTCGGTTTTAAAGGGATGAGGTGGCAACCCTATGTAGAAACATATAAAGAAGTTTCATAAAAGAGAAACATATAAAGAAAATATACCAAAGAGGTACGATTTGTACTCTAAGTTCCCCATCATATGTAGCCACAGCATAGTGGGCCAATGTGAAGCATAGATGAAGATAAAGATATTAAAACACAAAAAAACTATAGTATGGATAGTGACCAGCAGGTCAACTTATTCCCATATGGACAAAAAGCAATGCTAACAGACATTCAATGACACAGAACCATAGTATCTTTCTCAGGTTTTATGCATTTTATTGCACAGTTATGTGTGAACAGGCCCTTAGGGTGATTTTGCCTCACTTTATGTCCTGGGGACAACCTTTAACCAGACAGGAAGTGAAAGAAAATCTGCACCTGGGGACAGGCAACATTAAAAATGGGATAGAGGTTCTAGCCTTCCCCCACTTAACTTAAAAAGAACACTTCTGTCTATGTTGCTGTTGCAGAGATGTACCCTTACTTCCTGTGCTGGGGACACCTTTTTTTAGCAGACAGGAAGTGAAGGAATCTCTCCAGCAGAGCCCCCAATGACAGTAAAAAGCTCACAAGAGTTTTAATTCTTCTCTATCCAAATTTTAAAAAAAAAATGGCTATAGATACACTCTAAATGTTTTCGATGTGATATGTATATTACAATTATCCAACAAAAGCCAGCTCTGTTTAAAAGGTAATAGTAAAAGATATACAGAACTGCCATTGAACAAGATCTACTGATCTACTTCCGAAAACTAGTTCCCTGGCTGCCAATATGTTGATCCAGTGATTTCACTAATCTACAAGTATGTTGATCCAGTGACAGTCAATGATCTAAAACAAGTATGCTGATCCAGTGATTTCATATATCTAAAACAAAAATGTTGATCCAGTGGCAGTCAATGATCTACAAGTATGTTGATTCAGTGACAGTCAGTTATCTAAAACTACTATGCAGTTTGTACGTTCTCACTTTACTTCTTGCTGTCAAGCTTGGTCATGTGATGAGCCTATTCTGAGTTCATTAACAAATGCATTTGAACCTTTTCAGATCTGTATTTGACCTCGCTCACCCAATCTGAAATAGCTTTTGAGTTCCTATTGAGGAAAGAATTAGCTGGAAAGCATACATCAGTAGGCCTCTTTTAGGCTAATGTTATGCAAACTGTGGCCCAGTTACCTACCTGATTTTTCAGCACTTGAGTGCTGCAATGTATACAGGCCACTAGACTAAATGCAACTGATGTATTGGGGTCTGCAGTAAAATAACTATAACAGTTATTGACATCTGAGTATAGGAAAAAAGTATTACAGAATAAGAACAAAACAGCCTAGGGTATAACACACTAGCAATTAAGAAATGTTAAAGTAATCTACCTGTGGAACAACTCCAAATGCTTTCCTCCACTTCTGCAATGGTATTTTATTCCAAGATACCCCATCAATCTGAATATCTCCTTCAGTTGATAGCAGTCTCAAAAACGCAGACAACAATGTGCTCTTTCCTGATCCAGTTCTTCCTAGCAAACCAACCTAGAATGTCAGATATTTAAAATATGAATGTAAAGTATGTATTTTAAGTGGCATTTTACTTCAAAGAAAGATAAATATGATCAGACAAAATGCACAAACGTAGCTTTTAATATATTTGCTCTTATGCAGTATGCAGGGCAAGGAACAAAACTATAGGTGTTAGAGTGCAGAACCAATCACAATTTACTTTACTGATGTTAGACTAATACAATAGGGGTTTTAATTGTTTTCTATAGGTACTGCAGTCTGCATTTCACTTTTTCTCCTTGCTCTGGGTGTTATTGGGTGAGACTGTTTAAAATAATAAAACAGTTTGAATACATTTACTTTACAAGGAAAGTCTACCATTGTGGAAATACACTATGGCTGAACCAAGAAATGTCAACAAATACAACAAAGGATTCTCAACAAAATATTAAAAATGAACATTTTATTTATGATTATATTCATTTGTCCAATTACATTTGAGCCCCTGAAAATGGAGAGACTGTGTATAAAAATGGTTGCAGTTCCTACAATTTGTACTTGATATTTATGTTCAACCCCTTGAATTAAAGCTGAAAGTCTGCACTTCAAATTTATGCTTCGTTATAATTTATTTTGGTGGCATACAGAGCCAAAAGTATAAAATTGTGCCTGTGTCCAAATATATATACGAACCTAACTGTACATCCCAACAGGCCTAATCCTGGTGTAGGGCATCAAGGGTGTTATGCAAAGAGCCAGGCTACTGATAAGACAAGGGTATCAGAAACTGCCTAATAGGCTAAGGTGCATAATAGGGCTCTGGTCGAAGACAATTATTCTTTAATGTACAATGTAGGAAGAGTAAGTAGCTGAAGTTGACTTGGTATCAGCCTACTGCAATCCCTGTACACCAGAACAAAATACTGAGAGAGGGAAAAGTAGCACAAGTAGGCAAAAAGACATGCTGAATATGTCATGTGCTACCAAAGGCCAGAGTTCTTTTTTTCACTTCCCAGTCACAGGCTGGGAAAAGGACAATACCTTTAAGCATTCGTAAACTGCAGTAGCGAAAGTAAAAAATCTCCTGCCATGCTAGACAGTGCTGTCTAAGAAGTGGGTGAACAGAAGTACAAATCATTTGCCATGTAAAACCACATGTGTAGGCACCTGTTTGCATAGAGTTCAGGTTTAATCTTCAATAACAGTGAAACAAAAGCAGAAGGTATAAACCAACAAAATCAAAAGTAAGGCAGATTTAATGTCAGCATAGCAAACCACATTTGACTGACGTTCTGAACAATGAAGCTTTAGAAGCATGGATCTTACCCTTTGTCCAGGACTGACTGAGAATGATACATTCTCTAGAACAGCATGGCCTCCATCCACGAACTTTGCAGAGAGGTCTTTAACAGACATCTGACCACCAGATGGCCAGTTTGTGTCTTTGTTTGCATATTCATTCTCTATAATAAGGACCTCTGAGAGTTTATCATCCTTATCTGTACCATTCTTGCCCGCATCTTCATTTGGAATATCAATAAATTTAAAGATTCTGCTGACAGAGCGCATCTACAACAAAGGATATCAGATTAATTGTAGCAAATAAACTGCATTGCATGTGTATTCCCTGAGAATTAAGCCTAGGCATTGTATGAATTACTATATACACTATATTGCCACAAGTATTGGGACACCTGCCTTTACACGCACATGAACTTTAATGGTATCCCATCCATTATCTTAGTCCATAGGGTTCAATATTGAGTTGGCCCAACCTTTGCAGCTATAACAGCTTCAACTCTTCTGGGAAGCCTGTGCACAAGGTTTAGGTGTGTGTCTATGAGAATGTTTGACCATTCTTCCAGAAGTGCATTTGTGAGGTCAGGCAGTGATGTTGGACGAGAAGGCCATCCCAAAGGTGTCCTATCAGGTTGAGGCCAGAACCAGTGTGCAGGCCAGTCTAGTTCCTCCATCCCAAACTTGCTCATCCATGTCTTTATGAACCTTGCTTTATGCACTGGTGCACACTCATGTTGGAACAGGAAGGGGCCATCCGCATGCTGTTCCCACAAAGCTGGGAGCATGAAATTGTCCAAAATGTCTTGGTATGCTGACACCTTAAGAGTTCCCTTCACAGAAACTACGGGACCAAGCCCAACCCCTGACAGACAACACAACACCATAATCCCCCCTCCACCAAACTTTACATTTGGCACAGTGCAGTCAGGCAAGTACCATTCTCCTGGCAACCACCAAATCCAGACACGTCCATCGGATTGCCAGACAGAAAAGCATGATTTGCCACTCCAGAGAACACATCTCAACTGCTCCAGAATCCTGTGGCGGCATGCTTTACACCACTGCATCCAACGCTTTGCATTGCACTTGGTGATGTAAGGCTTGGATGCAGCTGCTTGGCCATGGAAACCCATTCCATGAAGCTCTCTATGCACTGTTGTTGTGCTAATCGGAAGGCCACACAAAGTTTGGAGGTCTTTAGCTATTGACTCTGCAGACAGTTGGTGACTTCTGCACACTGTGCACTTCAACATGCGCTGACCCCTCTCTGTCATTTTATGTGGCCTACCACTTCGTGGCTGAGTTACTTATTGCACAGGTGGTCAATTATCACAGTACCACGCTTGAATTCACTGAGCTCCTGAGAGCAACCCATCCTTTCACAAATGTGTATAGAAGCAGTCTGAATGCCTAGGCGCTTGATTTTATATACCTGTGCCCATGGAGGTGATTGGAACACCTAAATCAAATGATTTGGAGGGGTGTCCCAATATTTTGGCAATATAGTATATATATATATATATATATATATATATCATATATATATATATATATATATATATATATATATCATATACAGAACAGGACAGGCTAAAATAAGCTAAATTCATAGGATTCAGAACCCTTTTTGGATGAGAGAGGATATGCAAGACAATGTTTCAGGTCAAAGAATTTTTGAGAACATCTGACTTACCAAACTGTCCACATCAATACTCGAGTTTACAGCCCACTGCAGAGTACTCATAATATTCATCGCCAGAGTCAGTACAATTCCAACTTTTTCTCGACCAGCACCTGCAATTTTAAAGCAAAAAAAAAATGGAAGTTGAGATTCTTCATGTAAATATGAAGAATCCCAAGGAAAGGTTGTCTTTATTGTCAATAGCAATCAGATTTAACTTCTCTCTGACATGATTGGCTGTAGATTTGTTCCACACCAGTATTACTGATGTCAACGTTAGACACATTTTCACTCTAATGGTTTTTAAGTCAGCAATTACAGTATATGTATTTCTGTCAATAAAGGTTTCCTTTAAGGTCTCTTGCAGACATTGGTGTATACAAAATCATATTTTACAAACTCATGATCAGAAAAAAAGAGTCACCAAAAATAGATAAGCATCAGACAGAAATGCTCCTCTATACTATATAACAGTTTTTGTGTGTTGTACTTTTGTCCTAAGTGGCATAAACGTTTTTGAGAAATACTGTAGATATAGTGTAGATATTTACAGTAGCATTAACCTCCTTGGTTTCTATGTGATTTTATTGTTCTTGAGTCAGTAAGGTCTTTTTTCAGTTTTCAGTACATATTAGCAATGCATTCTTTAACAGCTTTACCTGGATAAAATTAATAATTAAAATCACTTAAAGCGGTAGTAAACAAAAAATAAATCTAAAAAAATCTTCTTCAAGTTCAGAACATAATACATCGCATACTAGCACATTATGAAAGACTTACCTGAAAAAGAAGCCCTCCAGCGAAGCACTGTCACGGCTCCCTGAGGCTTCCATCTTCACTCGGTCTTCATTCCGGGTTTGTCGGCTGCGGCCATTAGATTGGCCAGACCACAATGGCGGGAGATTGGGCTGAGACATGGCTTGCTCAATGGACGGCACACTGATCATTGAGAGCGAAGTGCGCATGTGCCGGTTAAATCACTGATGCTGCAAAAGTAAATGTCTCCTAAACGGTGCACGTTTAGGAGATATTTACAATACCTACAGGTAAACCTTATAAAAGACTTACCTGTAGGTAAAACATAAAAAACCGACTTTACTTCCACTTTAAAGACTTTTATACCAAAAAGAATTTTCTGTTTAGAAGCTTCTCTGAACATATTAGAGTGGTTCTAAATCCTGAAGGTTTTATACCTTCATTCATGCTATGCATGAAGGTAAAAACCTTTAGTGTGCAGCTTCCCCGTCAGCACCTCCCTTATACACACCTGAGCCCGATCCAGCGATATGCATGAGAGCCGAAGCTCTCCCAGGTCACTGCCTCCTGTTCAGCTGTGACACAACAGCAGGAATCATTGATGGGACTGGAGCTATGCTGTGTGGATACAGAAGTAGACCAATACCTGAACAGTGGGACTAAAGTGGCCATTAATCTGTTGCTGCTAGCAGAGACTGAGCATACAGGGACAGGGCATTTAACTAGCAGCCTTTACCACTGCATGAAGACTTTAAGGGGGACTGTACTTATGTGCACTACTGTAAAGACTGGGCTCCAACGCTAGCCGGCTGAACAGTTAGGGCAAAGGACTGTCTTCTCAGATAGATGCTCTACTAGGACTTCATGAGCTGTCTATAGACAGGGAAACCTCTATCATAAGGTCTGGTTCCTAGCATGGTCATAAATATAGAATGCACTCTAGCTGTATAATATATTGGTTGCAGGAAAGTTATCACAGCACTGATTATTATCACTGTTGTTATCTGTGCCATTATTTAATGTAGACCTACAGATTCTCAGGTATATATTAATATAAACGTATAGATCTTTATCCTAAGCTGCTACAATCTAGTAATTTCTTTGTCTAAAGAATTGTGTTTGACTCACACTCTGCTTGTTCCTATATGTATATAATGCCATTTACCTTGATATGTTATAATATATAATGCATTTCTTTATTCTTACCCAGTCTGCTGTTTACCTCCTGAAACTGAACCAAAGCTGTGTTCAGGGCACTTATATTTGTGCTCTCAACAGTACTGCAATATCTATCTGGTGTGTCAGAGGGGCCGAGGTTTGTTCTCAGAGTCGAGGCAAAAGAACAGAGAACCTAATACTACAGGGGGTAGTACTACATATGTTATACTTTCAATGAACATGTTACTTAGAAGACCCATACATTTTCTGGAGCTAATCAAAATATAAGATTTTTTTTAGATAAAAAAAAAAGAGTGGGCATAGATATCCTGTCATCTCTCCTACATAAGAGGTGTTCTAGAAGGAAGCATTCTTGTGGACCACAGAAACCAATTTGATTCTTCATTTCATGTTCAAACGACAGAAATAGTAAGTTGTATTTAGAAAGTGACTAGCTACTGCTTGCAACCAGCACACATTTACAATACTTTATATGCCAGTATTCTCTCCTCTACTGTACCTCATCCTGAAGAGATTACGCAAAACAGCATTTTGTGCTAAACTGCACACAGCAGATACCAGAGAATTATGTATGTACTGGGGAGTGGTGAGGCACGGGTGGTAATTTCACCTGTCTCCTTCACTGAGGTCCAGTGGTCCAGCAATTCATCATGCTTACCCAAATAGTCTATAAGAAATCTTAAATTCTCAATTATGAGAAGAAAGAGGTCCACGTGGTACCTGTGGAGTTCTACACCTGTACATGGAGTTCAGTAAGACTATACCTTACTCAGCATACCCACCATCTATAAATATTAGTCTCTGACATTCTTTAAATTTAGTGGAACATGTCAAAGGTAGTAAGCCTTTGTACAGGTATATAATATACATATTTATTTGTGAATGGTAATAGATGGTTTATGGAAGATTTCAGTTGCACTTTAAGTACAACATCATATTGTAAAACAGTATACAGGACCAAATGACAAATGATGTGTACCTGAAGTTGCAATGGAGATAAATGCAACAGCACAGAAGAAGATGACAAAGATCATCTCAATCGTCATCTGGAACCACCGCAGTGTAGACAAGTAGAGGAACCAGTTTGCAGTGTGTAAATTCAGTGCTTTGTGAAACAGGGTTTCAAAATAAGGCTGCCTGCCAAAGGCTCTAAGTGTCCACAAACCCTTTAAACTTGTTATCAGGTGAGTAAAAATTGGACTACGAGCTGTAAAAAGATAAGAAATATATCTGTATATATAATGGCACTTACAAAATAAACTCTATCAGCTATATGGGTGTTATAATCATTTTTTTATTGTCAAAATATATTTTATGTAAGTACAAAAATGCAGCAACCAACCTTCCAGATAATAAGATAATGATTGCAAATAAATACATTACACTTGCACAGAAAAGTAAATCAAAATGCAGATCAGTACAACATGTTTTTTGG